TAGATGACCTCCTGAGGTCCCTTCCAACCCTGATGTTCTATGACTCTATGATTCTATAAGTTCTTTTGGTCTTTGTCCAGAGACACATGTCATCTTACAATTTCACTTAACAACCCTTATCCTATAGCAACGTCTCCTAGCATACAATTTCACATCAACATAGTCCCTTTTCACAATGGCTAAGCAGAAAATCAATGGCGTGAGCTTAGTTTCTAACTCTCCCACTTAAATTGTGCCTTTCATTCTGTATAATGATCACTACTCAAACCTACTATAGCTTCATGCTTAGCTGTGACCAAAGTACGCTACATTCCTGTTTAGGAACAGGTCCAAAGTCAGTGAGATTTCATGGGTGTAACTAAGTGCAGAATTTGGCTCACTCTGTAATATTCCCATGATTCCTTGCCACAGAGAGAATGCAATAGAAGAAACAATCAAATTCAGGCCTGTTAGTTTTGAATGTTTCTGTCAGCAAATCCATTCAAGCCCATCACTGTCCAGATGTAAGAGTGATGCTAAATTATTTCCCAATTTAGGGCTACACTGACCCAGAGTACAGGAAACGGAGAGCCTTCTTTACAGACCTGGCCTTCAACTACAGAGAGTAAGTGCAGCACCACTGGAAAACTGCTTGTTCTAAATCAGTTTCACTCACATTTTGTGTGCTCTCGCAGTAAGTAGTCTGATTTTGTTCACCTGTAAGCAGCTTTATGGTTGATGTAACTTAATCCTAGGCCAATGGTCTGTGGTGCCATCTGTTGGAAAACTGAGTTAATCACAGAAACACACATCCCATACAAATCAGGAACATTTCAGAATACAATGAAAATTAATTTAATATTTAACTTTAGGGCTGCCTTCACACCTCACTTAGCTCTGCATAATTTCATGTAATTCTAGGGGGCAAATGATCTCTATATGACTCTTTCATTTAAATTATAGGATGAGAGTATCTTCCTTCCAGGATTTGGCATGTACCTTAATAAACCTGTCAGGTAGACAAGGACTTGTGCATGTCCTACAGAAAAAAAAAGATGGACTTATCCTCAAATGAACAATTTACACTTTCTTGCCTTTCTGTGTAAAAACACATGGGAGTGGAAGAGAAGTCTGGGGGCTTGTTCTTGTGGACACTGAAATTCATTCTATGCACTTGTAGGTGGCATTAGCATGCATAATGGCCTTGAGCTGTGAGCCACATGGTGCCCAAGAACTCAAGAGAAACCCTGAACCTTGGGAGATTTCTGCTTAATGACAGCCTCCGTACATTGTGGCTAGTCAGCCAGCTCCCTCACTAATATTGTGAATTATCTCCTTCTCTGATGGTAGATACAACTACAGAGGGGAAGCTAATGCTGAAATATGCACAATATACCTATAAACCCACTTGATGTATAATTGTTGATGGTCTTCCAGCAGCTAAGCAATTGGAACGGGAAATAATACAGCATTGCTTCCTCTACATTCCATCAAGTGGTCCATCCTTTACAGTATTTCACTGTTTGCACCATCCCTGGGGATTTGGTGGAGCCTAGGACACCTGGGTCATAAAACCCTTTAGAATCCTTCAGGATGATTATTTATTATTTGTAATTATTTTAGTATGGCAAATAATCCTGAGGCATATAAAGAAAATTATACTTGAAACTAGAACTCAAGTCAGCTACATATATTTTTCTCTCTCTCTCTTTTTAAAGAGGAGACCCATTGCCTCGAGTTGAGTACACTGTCCAGGAGACTGCTACTTGGTGAGTATATTTTTCATAACCTGCCCCATGACAAGTCATGGGGTGATTCCACTGAAACCCCAGGGAATTTCAGAGGTGCAAGAAGTGCACAACAGTGCCCTACATTTTCAAATAATATTTGACATCTCTAATTTTAATTGATGTATTAATTATCCCTTCCTGTTGTTCATTTTGCAGAATTCTGTTCTCCCCATGCAAGTGTAACTCCCGGTGTTGCTAAGAGGAGTTACATACCTGCACTGAGGGGTGAATAGACTTCTGAATCTATTTCCAGGTTACATTAAGTGGTGAAAATACATCAAAAGGCTCAGGGTTGATGCACCTAAGTGAGGGGGGCTTTCTGCTACATTTGTGGCCCCTCTTTCTGCCCCCACCCAGTTTCCAAGGTAGCAGAGGCAAATTTGATCCCTGGCAGGTTGGAACAACCTCAGGGCTGCTCTAAATTGCACTGGCTAAGGGGCTGTTACATCCCCTGTGATGTTGGTAGGAGGTGTGGAGCTTAGGACCAAAGCAGCACAAAGCAGACTTAGTAGGGATGTGGATCTAGCCCTCAGAGTTCTGGTTCAGTTAAAAGACACTAAAAAGTTTGGCTACTTAACCATACTATCCAGAACTCTTGAAAATCTGCAAAATTTGTCTGGAAAACTCAGGAGAACAAGTGCTTTTTTAAGATTTCTTTTGCTTCTGGTTGGGCTGGAAATAGAATGCAACTGTTTCTCGCAAGGTATTTTTGGCAGCTCCTGTCTTGACCAGAACCTGGAAGTGTGTAAGACTGAAAAATGATCAAATAAATGTTAACTGAGTATTTCAGAATCTTTAAAAGAGATTGGTCCCAAGCCAGAAAATTCAGATCTGAATCCAGATCTGGATTTGAGTCTGTGGTTTTTGTTTGGTTCCTTATAAACATAGGGGCCTGAAATCATGTTACTGGTCTCTGCCAGAGAGAGGATGCTGGACTAGCTGAACCACTGGTCAGTCCAGCATGGCAATTCCTATGTCCTTAACTTAAAATTGAACATTGTCTGGTTCATGTTCTACTTAGGGGCTAGTGTGAAAAAAGAAGAGAGAAGGGGAGAAAGAATAATCCAGTGGGGAAAAAAGGGTGAAGACGGAGCAAAAAGTGAAAAGCCATGTGAAAGTGGGAAGGATGAGAAAAATCAGTGTAGTCAAATGTATATACATATACACACACACACAGAGTGTATTTTTCCATTTGAATTTTTCTCTTCTCCTCTTTCCTCCCCTGTATATGCTAGAACCGATGCAAAGGGGTGCTCTTAATATATACATGCTGAGATAGATAGTAGTGCAAGGGAGTGCATCTATCTAGCAATTTATGGGGTGAGGGATGTTTCTAACCCCAGTGCACAGCACAGGTTTCCCTTTACGTTAAAAATGTTCCTTTTTAAGTTGACTCACTCTCTGAATAAACATGGTCTTAACTTACAATAAAAAAGCTTCATGATCTCAGATGAACCCAGGGCAAGCCACACTAGAGAAAGTCACTTTTCACACCAGTGCAGCCCATTTCCCCTGGTGTTTTCCTCATTGTAGCTATCCCAGTGCAAAAACCCCAGTGGGATTTGCAACAAAAAAATAATGCAAGAAATTCATTAAACCTAGAAGACATTTGCCAACTTCAGAAATGGATGAAGGTTTTGGAAGAAAGGGGAATTTTGATTTCTTGTCCACCTCCTTCCATCTTCCCTAGCTGCCTTTCAAAAATCACACTATATAGCAATAATTATTGTTATGGGTTACTTGTTTTACAAGAATGTCTTGTGGTCCCACTTGAGATCAGGGCCCCACTGTGCTAAGTACTGCATGTACACATAGTTGAAGATTGTACACTCTTCTGGGTAGGGACTATCTAAATGGACAAGACGGACAAAAGGTGGGAGAAAGGAAAAATTACTATCCCCATTTTACAGATGGGAAAGTGCGAAATTAGACAATTAGCCCAAGGTCTTACAGGGCACAGCCAGGAATTGAGCCTAGATCTCCCAAGTCCCCAACCAGCACCTCAGCAACAAGGTCATCCTTCCTCTCTGAAGGAGTGTTTTATTTTAAATAAAATCCATTGGGCCTTAGAATTTGCAAAATGAGCACCGGATAACTACCAAGGAACATCATATCCTACTCATCCAACTTCTATTATTTTCACAAGCTAGATTTTCAAATAACCTTTGAAAAGTAGTAACATGCCTTTTAAGTCCTTAGCATCATGTGCATGACGGCTCTCACCAGCCAACAATATTGGCATGTTCTGGTGTGTGGGAATGTTATATTTAAGAAAATAAAATTTTGTGTTCTTTCCTGTTTTTCCCCTTTTTCTGCCAACCTCCATCACGGCAGCCATTCTCCATCTAGAACTATTCCCACAGTGGTAAATGGAACAGGCCTTTCGGGGGTATCTATCTATCTCCTCAACACAGTTAGCCCCAGCAACCCAAATTCCAAAATTAGATCTCACAGTTGTTACTGTAGCTCCCTAGGGCTGTGTGCTGAGGTCAGCTGCATTACAACACAACTTAATATGGATACAGGGAAACCAAAGGGGAAATTTTTTAACATGCTGTAAAGTCCCTTGATGTTAGCTCTGAAGAGCTGTTGGATGCCTTTAGTTTGTAGCAACATGTGTATAAAAATGAAAACAAGAGCGGAAATCTCAGCTTCCAAAAACAGGGCTTGGACAATCTATGTTGTCAGGCATAGTTATTGCAGAGGCATAAACGGAACGGTCATGGGAGCAAATGGGGAGATGTTTACTGGGAAGAAGTTGCCCAGGAAAAGGGAGAACAGAGGACAAAGATATTGAGACATATGTCATGTGACAATAGTAAAGGCAGACAGTCACCTTCTTCTAACAGAGAACAAGGAACTTGATTAGAATAAGGAAACAGCATTATCCCTAAAGCTGTCCCAGCTGTCTTTCCCACTGCTTCACTGTCAAGATTCTGCCTAGAATCTTTCACAGCCCTCACCTGTCATTTTAAAGAAACAGCACACATATGCTCTCAGCATGCGTGCATTTACAGTGCACTTAATTTACAACACTATTCAGATCAAGGTTCAGTTTTAGAAATCCAGATTTTTACTAGCTTTTAGTATTTACAACGAATATTCCCTTTTAAAATAGTTATCACCTTCCTCCTCCCACACTAAATAGGGCCTGATCCAACTCCACTAAAGTCAGTAAGAATCATTTCACTGCCTGTAATGGGAGTTGGATCAGACCCTAAATTTCTCAGGTGTATTATCCTTAGTGCTCTGAATAAATTTTATCTAGGGGAGGTACTAGAGATGGTCAGGAAATAATTTTCATCTCACAAAATGTTTTTGATGAAAATCAAATTGTCATTGATTTTTGTTTTAAATTAAGTATATAAGAATGGCCACATGAGGTCAGGCCAATGGTCTGTTTAGCCCAATATCCTGTCTTCTGATAGTGGCCAGTGCCAGATGCTTCAGAGGGAATGAACAGAACAGGGTAATTCTGAGCAGTGGCGTAGCCAGTGGAGGGAACAGGGGGAGCATCAAAAAAAAAGGCACCACCCACTGCAGCGCTTTTACTGACGGGGCGGTGCTTTTACTCACCCGGCGGCGCTCCGGGTCTTCAGCAGCACCTCAGCGGTGGGACCTTCACTCGCTCCACGGGTCTTCGGCAGCATTTCCTTCAGTGCCGCCGAAGACACCCAGAGCGAGTGAGGGTCCGCCGCTGAGATGCCGCCAAAGACCCGGGGCGCCGCTGGGTGAGTAAAAATTAAAAAGGCGCCAAGATGCTCAGTGGGGGAGCTGCCACTGCCCCGCTCCCCCACAGCTATGCTACTGATTCTGAGTGATCCATTGCCTCTCACCCAGTTCCAGCTTCTGGCAGTCAGAGGTTTAAGGACACTCAGAGTATGGGGTTCTGACCCTGACTATCTTGGCTAATAGCTATTGTAGGACCTATTCTCTATGAACGTATCTAGTTCTTTTTTGAATGCGGTTATCATGAGAACATAAGAATGGCCATACTGGGTCAGACTAATGGTATGTTTTTAGCATTGTGTCTAAAAACCTACCACTGAGTGCGTATAGATATATATTTCTCTTTCTCAGTAATATATATCTGAAATTGTTCAGCTTATAATTTAAAAATGTAGGGTTTTTTGGTTTTTAAAAAATTGGTTTTCAGGTTTTTTAATCAATATCCCCTCAAATTTTGAGAAAAACAGATTTTTTTTCCAAACATTTTCATTGATTCAAAAAGCCATTTTCTGTGGAAAAAAATGTTTTGAAGGACCATTTTCTACTTTCTCTAGCAACTCCAGCACTCTTCTGTGTCCCAGGGAATTTTAAAAACCCATCCCAGTCATCTAAGGGTGGCGCATCTTTCCACAAACCATTCATCACACAGGGAAGTGACTACAGCCTAGCTCAGGATGGACTTCCTCCGCTTTCCCCCTCGTGGTCTGGGGTCTTTGAAGGCAATCCAAAGAATGAGAAGAGAAGGAAGTGCAGAAGGAAGGAGAGGAGCACATGTTCCTGAGCTCACCAGCGGTGCCTCCTGAGCAGCTCTGAAACTCTCTGTGGAGGGGTTTGGTGTTAGGAGGTTCCACCTTCAAAGCAGGTTAACATTTCCTCTGCCTCTGACAGCTTACTAGGGAACTGCTTTCCACGGCTTTCAAACCTAGAAAAGCTGTGCATTGAAGCAGTGGGAATTTTGCCTGTGTAAGGACTGCAGAATTGAGCCCTACGTGTACACAGTTCTGTTGTCCTGTCACTGAATTGTAGCCACCTCTGGGTTGGAACACTGCAGCTGGGCAGTGCAGATCAATAATGCACAACAGCTGAGAATACTAAATGAAGCCCACTGTTTCTTCTCTCTATGGTCTAAGAATAAAATATGCTATTTTTTTATTTGCAGTGCTTCTAATTTTCTAAAAAAAGGAAACTGTTTGCAGTAAAAGCATATGTAATACTAAACTTAGTTCTAGAGCGACCCGTACAATTAATTTTAAACTTGTCTCTATTGTAAGTGTAAACACAATTTTAAATTTTCTAATAGGGAAGTATTGGTCTATTTTAAAAAAAAAGTTTTGTACAGTATATTTAAAGTAAAGTAAGCATATTTAAAAGTCTGTAATTTCTGTTTTCTAACTCAGCCCCTTTCTACTTGGTTTGTAAGCAGAATTCATAGGAACATAGGCCTGGAAGGGATCTGCTGGGTCAAGCCCAGTCCCGTGCTGTCACAGGAAACCACAGCATATAATTCCATTCATAAATTTATCAAGCGCCACCTTAAAACGAGTTAGGGTGTTTGGCCCCCACAACTGCTACTGGGATGCTGTTCCAGAACCTCACCCTCTGATGGGTAAAAACTTTCATTTAATTTCCAGCCTGTTGTTCATGGTCAGTTTATACACAGTTGTTCTTGTACCAACATTGTCCATTAGCTTCAATAGCTGTTCTCCTTCCATGGGGCTTACCCCCCAATGCATTTATAGAGAGCAGTCAGATTCCCCCTCAGCCTTTGTTTTGCTAGGCTAAAGAGGCCAAGCTCTCCATGTCTCCTCTCACATGTTAGGCTCTCCATTCCCGATCATCCTCGCAGTTCTTCTCTGCACTTGTTCCAGTTTGCATTAATCTTTCTTGAACACAGGTGACCAGAAGTCCCACCCCCGGTGATAACTAGAGGTAAAGCAGCCTCAACACAGGGAATGTCCCTTTGCTGCTGATCGTAGGCTTCCGAAGGCAGGATCACAAACTCTTCTGCAGGGCTTCGCCTTGTCTTCTCAGAGTGTGGACTGCAGTCTGAGGGGCTGCTATAGGATCAGGTTCCTCTGCTTATCCCCCCACTCTGCACTCTGCCCTTCCCACCCTTCTTGTTAGGGTGGGGATGGCCAGCACTGGCCCTTCAGCATCGTTGGTCCCTACAGCTAGAGCGGGCTGAATACAGGGCTCACAAATATTCATTTGAATTTCCAGCTGCTCAGTTCATCCTTATTCATGTGCTCTGTACAATGGTTTGGAGAACGCCTGTTCCTTGTACAAATAGCTGCGTTCACATGTGAGACGAGGTATTTATGCCCACACAAGATATATTCATTCTTTTTATGTTATTCCCCATTTCTTCATCCAACCAGGGAGTAAGAATAAACCATATGGAGAAGAAAGGGGCCAAAAAATGGCTCCTCCCATGTCAAAGTATCCTGGCAACAACTTCTTTCTCTGTGGGGCTTCTGTCCTCCATGTCTCCTCCTCCAAGCCCTATACTAGAAGGCCAGTATCTAGTGGCTTCTCCTCTTCTATGCTGATGGTGATAATTATGCAGACAAATGGTGCTGAAAGAGGACGTGGCTACAAAATACACTGTGGGCCAAAGCCTCATCCACACAATTAGATAAATTTCATTGACTGTGTCTATTTACACTGGCTGAGGCTCTGGCCCCTGGACTTTAAAGTTTGTTTTGTTTTAAAACGAAATGACCAATATTAGTCCCATAGAGAAACGGGACAGGGCATCCAGCATCTTATCAAGACACAAATTTGCCCAAAGTTGAAGAAGAATATTTGGACCTGGAGTTTTGGGTCACATTCATTTCTAGTCTCCTATCCTGCCGAAGCTTTGGTGCTAGTATTAACAGTAAAGTCACTCTTTGAAGTAAGTATGTCCAGATTCTTCCCACAAGTCTAGCTAAGACTGTACAGAGAGCAATCTTGGACTGATGCGCTGCTTTACACCCTATACAATACCATTAAAGTCAATGGTATTCTATGGGAAATAAGTTAGGGCAAAATCTGGCCTCTTATTCTCCTAAACTTTTCCTGTCTTCTCTGTGGAGATGGAGCTCATGCAGCTTTTACAATACTGACAACAGCCACTGTCTACGTCTGTTTCTTTTTTCCCCAATTACAGCCACGCTAACATAAGAAGTTTATGTGATGGAATGACACCCTTACAAGATACTGGCTATCACCTCCATAGCAACAATAGCAGCAAAAAACTTACAATACAAAAACAAGAGAAAGTCATTTTCTTTGGTCAGTATTTCCAAGAATGATCTCAATTTTCATAAAATACTGTTTATACACTTGTTAGAATCCCAGAGCTGGGTGTGAATAAATATAACCATTTCTATAAGCTTCCCTGCCATCACTTCAGTGCTTGTTAATTTTGCAATAGCTAAATATATTTTGAAAGTGGGGCCTTTAAAATGAAATAATAAAATACATGAGAAGGGCCCAAACCAAAGCCCTAGATTCCATGCACTGCCAACTAATTTTATATAATTGTATATAGCACCTTTTATTACAGTAAGCTAAACACCTCCAAAATTTGAGGTGATGAACATCTCCATCTTGCATTCAGAGCTGCCTGGGTGGTATCTTGCACCCCCAGTCCCTGTCCCGATTTTTCACACTTGCCCTCTGGTCACTCTACCCTGATGCAAGAAAGCACTGAAGCATATCCTTCACTTTATGCACATACTTCGTGCTTTCCTGAATAGGGAAACTCTGGGTGCCTGTTTACAGTTGAACAGTTCATGGGGTTCCACACAGGCACCAAGATCTGCCTGGGCAGAGTCAAGTGCAAGATCAAGGCCCGTATCTGGTTCCTCATTTTGTGCCCATCTCCTGGAAAAATCCTACCCTGCAGCCTCCATCCAGGCTTTGGCTTCAGAGCATCATTTTTTCTGAGCTCAGCTTGGTGTTAGATACCCTCTCTGCCCTGCCTGTGTGAATAGCTGTGGTTCTGAAGCCAGGGAGAAGAGGTGCTGCTCATAGTAAAGGACATGAACTAAGGATTGTTGTTCTTTCAGGAGGGAAGTCTACAGGAAGCTGAGCAGCCTCTATCCTACCCACGCCTGTAAGCAGTACCTGGATGCCTTTCAGCAGCTGGAGAAATGCTGTGGATACCAAGAGGATAGTATACCTCAGCTTCAGGATGTCTCCAGATTTTTAAAAGGCAAGACATTACAGTCCACTGTATTTTAGCACTCCCTAGGTTGGGAATCTACAATGATGTGTGATGGAAAGAGGTGTTGATGGTAGACCCCCATTCTGAATGAACTGGGCGTGAAGATCTGTTCGCTAATAACAAGGAGAGGGGGTTAGGAATAGATACAATATTGAGAGGGTGCAAGCTCAAGTTAGTCTGTCAGCAGATGTTTGAGTGACAGAGGACACAGTGGAGATTGAGATCCTGTGTTACTAACCCCCCGGATAGATTCAGTTCCAAGACAGGGTGTGCCTTTTCGACAAATCGGCTTGCCAAATTAACTGTAATCTGGAGTAGCCAAGGAATGGCTGCAGTAAAAGAAAACACCCTCCTTGCTGCTCTCCCAGCAATAGGAAGGGTGCCAGACGCAGGCCAAAGACAGTTGCTAAAGTATGGCAAAATAAATATATAAATGGTAGATTTAACTTAAAATACATTAAGTTTAAATTGGATGTTTATCAAATCAAGTGAACCTCTCAATCTGCCAATAAACAGATGCAAGACAAATTGGCTTAACCTACCGCTGAAGAGATTTCCAGTACATTGTCATTTTAATTAGAGACTAATGTATATTGGGCCAGATCCTTGTGTTGATCCAGAAGCACAAAGGGAATGGACAGCTGCATTGCTAGTGCAGCCAGAAATTCCCCAGATGTAGAGACATCCTTCAGAGGTGTAAATTGGAATGGCCAGGACTATGTCATCCACCCATCCAACCCCAGGAATAGTAGGCATTCCTGGGTGGGCTGAGGACATTGCCAGTGCTAGGAGGAGGTGGAACTGGAGCACAATGCCCTCCAGCAATTCCAAGATGGCAAAGCAGTCCTTGAGATTTGCTGTTGCTGACATAATGTAGAGCTGCCTTTAGGCTGCTCTACATTATGCTGGGAGCCTGTGGTTGGGTTAAGGATAAGGAGAGTGGAAAGATGCCTGAGAGGCAACCTCCCACATCCCAGATATTCATGAGTTGAACACTGCTCAGTTGGGCCTAGGGATCTGGCCCATTAGCTTGTTCACTAACAGAATGTGAGAAATAACTAAGAATATTGTAGGTTTCCTTTAAGTTTCCTTCTGGATCATGGGGACAATGGCCTAATTCTGATATCACTTACACTGGTGATACACAAGTATAACTCCATTATCTTCAATTGGGATTATTCCTGATTTACACTAGTGAACATGTGGTCAGAATCAGGTTCATAATACACATTGTTTTTCTTAACACACCGTTGTTGTTACCTTCATGTCCTAATCCTGCCACTGCCTCTGCTCAGGTGGCTTCTTCCAGACCCCTACTGATCACAGCCAGTGTCTAGAAGATGTCTTGGACCAGGTCACTTGTCTTTTTCTTATCATTTGCCTCTCACCAGAGGTCAGAGGCTGTTTCCCTTTGAAAACATGCCGCAGTGAAATTGTCCTGAAAAAAAGTGTAAGACTTGAAAGTGCCTTAGCTAAGGGAAGTTTATTCAATATAAGAAAAAAGAGAATCACTTAAAATAATAATAGATCACAACATTCCCAATCCCAACTAAGGGAATATCATACCTCACTGTGTAGGTAAAATGACATTTTGTTTTATTGATTACCATTCATTTTGGAAAATCCTACACAGTGGGTTCAACCATGTCTTTCCTTGACTCGCTGAGCCAAACCTCCAGGCTTCGCCCATCACCCAGCTCCTTCTCTGTTCTCTCTTCCTTTTCTGCTCCATTGAGCCTCTCCTTGGTGTACATGGCAACCATATCTGCCCCTGACCAATTTAGGGCTTGTTTTAGTATTCTCCGTCCCCCCTTCCTGTCTACCCACCCTGCACTCACTATAATATTGGAGCATCTCTGGATGGTGGCGAGGAATTGGATATGTTTCTTCTCTGTGTGTTTTACTGCCAGCAGTCAGCAGGGAGCTTTAGCTTTGTAAATAGGTCTTAGGATACTGCTCTGAATGTGACTGATATTGGTATTTTTTTATCAGTCCTAGCTCACTTCAGAAGGGATAACAGAAGCGGGGAGATTAGGGCAAAGTAAGGATCTACTGGTGCGCACTCTTTGTATGTGTACAGTTAGATTTTGTTTAGAGATGTCTGTGGCTATTCACATCTGCTCTAGATTGTGGTCCTAAGTTATTTCCATGTGTCATCATGCAAGTTGTTCTGGGCAAAAGTATGATAAAAAATCATCAGTTAGAAAACTCTGCAAATATCTATCGGGGGAGGGAAATTCAGAGTGTTCCACAAACCAGTGTTGTTTATGGCTGGACTCATATAGTGGTGGATAAGATACTTGGGTCCAGACTGAATCAATATCCATCGATACCGCCTTGTCACCAATAATTCTAACTTTAAATTCTCCTTATCACACAGCGTTCCTCTTAGGGCATTGTGAGAGTTGCAGTTACTGTCAGATCCCTTTGGCACAAACTCACTCTAAGTCAGAGTCTAATGGTACCATTGCAAGATCTGCAGCAGCTGCAACAGCCAGTCCAATGTCAGTGAGCCATCTTGTGAGATTAGGGTGCATAAGGCGTACCTCTTATTTACAAATACCTTGGGTGGAATCCAGCCCGTGTTGTGGATGGCGAAGAGCTGCACTTCCCCAGAGGAGCTCTAGGTGGCATTGTGTCTCCCAGAATTCCATAGCATGTGGTGGGGACATGCCAGCCACTATATCCTATACTGAGAGGCAGTGTGCAGTTCCTTCCAGCTGTAGGTGGAGCTGTGGTCATGTGCAATGCTAGTCCTGAGCAGTCCCAGTGCTATAGCCAGGGCCTAAATGCCACGACAGGTCTCTGAATAGCCGGTGTAGGTTCTCCCAGTTCCTCCTGATACCCTTGCACAGGCAGGTAGTCCAAGTACAATCTAAACTCTTAGGCTAGGTCTACGGGGGGGGGGGAGGATCTGACCTAAGATACGCAACTTCAGCTACGTGAATAGCGTAGCTGAAGTTGCGTATTTTAGGTCGACTTACCTGGCTGTGAGGACGGCGGCGAGTCGACCGCTGCCACTCTGCCGTCGACTACGCTTCCACCTCTTGCCGCGGTGGATTTCTGGAGTAAACGGCAGAGAGATCAGGGATCGATTTTATCGCGTCTTCACTAGACGCGATAAGTCGATCCCCAATAGATTGATTGCTACCCGCCGATCCGGCGGGTAGTGAAGACGTGCCCTTAGATTCACATGTACTTACTACTGTGTAGCTTACATGATGCATCTTACACATTGTCTTTGAATTTGGCTCAACAAATCATAGAAATTCAAGATGGAAAAGACCTTTCCTCCAGGTCATCATCCTGCCAGGGAAAGAGTGTTCCCTGCTTTGTCCAGTCTGACTTCAAATGTCTCTAGGGATGGGGCTTCTACCTCTTCCCCCGGAAGATTGTCTTTATATGAGAAAGAGAACTAGTGACCAAACAGACTGAGACCAAATATGCTGGAAGAAACATAAAACATTTCACGTGAACAGCTTGGTTTTTGTGGGAAACATTTCTGTTTAAACAAATTAGGAAAGCAAGTACAAAGCCATTTCTGTCCTTTTATTTTTTTAGTTGTACGCAATAAAAGTAATTAAAATGAGAGCTGAAACAGTATTTATGAAAGCAGGGAATGCAACACAGATTTGGAATATGGGGCTTCAAAAAGATTATCATCTACTCTTCTTAAATCACGGCAGTTTTACATGATGCTTTTTGAACACGTAGAAAACATGGGCTTTGCCAAAGGGGGCTTATAGTTTAAACTTAGACAAATAAAACACAAAGGTGCAAGATCAGATGGAAAAATGGGAGCTGACAGCTCTGAAAAGAATGTTAAAATGAAAATGTAGAAAGGCTAAGGGCCAAATTACCCATAATGAGTAACCCTACCTGTTACATACCTTGTAGGGGTCCCATGTAAATTCAGTTGCTGCTGCACCCCAATGATTTCAACAGACTGCAAAAATCAAAAAATACCCTCTCCAAAAATGCATGGCAGTGTGCTGCCAGTGTGAATCCAGTTTCTGCTTTTGAATCATGCATACAAAATAAATGAAATACAACATAATACCATACAGTAACTTGACTACTTGAAGTTGATTGTGTCATAAAAGGCCCATGCAGGACCATAGGAATTGCCAGACTAGCTTAGACCTGAGGTCCATCTAGTTCAGTGCCGTGTCTCTGACAGTAGCCAGCACCGGCTTCTTCAGAGGAAGGTGTAAGAATCCTGCAGTAGGTAGTTACAGGCTAATGTATAACCAGAGAATACACCTGCTGAGCCGCCAACAGCTGAAAGTTGCCTTGTGCCCTGAATCAAGAGGGTGTGCATACCATCCAAAACTCTTGTTTATTTCTGACATTTATTATTACAAGAGAAGAAAGCTGACAGTGGTTAGGGCAGTGGGCTGGGACCTGGGAGATCCAGCTTCCATTTCCTGCTGTGCCACAGCTTTCCTCTGTGGACAAGTCACTTAACCTCTCTGTGCTTCAATTCCCATCCGTAAAATGTGGATTATATCCCTGCCCTTCTTCACAGAGGTGTTAGAAAGATAAATACACGAAGGATTGTGAGGCACTCAGATACCAAGGTAATAGAGCCCATATTCGTACCTAAAATAGACAGACATTTTCCTTATCCATCTGTACAAGAAAGTTCTGAGACTAAATGCAAAGGAAATTTCAAACTGCTTGGATGCTGTGGAGTTATGTTCACAGTAGATTTTCCTGCTGGGTTGTTTTCTTTTGCAGAAAGAACAGGCTTTCAGCTGAGACCAGCTGCAGGGCTGCTATCGCCTCGTGACTTCCTTGCCAGCCTGGCATTTCGTGTCTTTCAGAGCACACAGTATATAAGGCATTCCTCTTCCCCTATGCATTCCCCAGAACCGTAAGTAGGATGATATGGCAAAATCCAGTGGTTCTCAGTCTGTGAGCCTTTCGTGGTGGTGGTGGTGGTTGTACTAATTTAGATGGAATACAGGGACTCAAAGAGTCAAGGGTGTTAATGTAACCCAGTCATTGTCCAACATTCTCAGTGTTAAACAAGGTCTTTGATATACAGAGACCACAGTCTGCTTAGTACCATGGCAAAAACACCATAAAACATCCTTTAAACCTTTTATTAAAGATACCGAAAAGAAGGATAAAGTTAAAGCCTTTGAAATGTAAAGTATTAAGTAAGGCTTTCACTTTAACAACATCCCTCCCTCGTTCCCTTTCCCTTTGGCTGAAGAGAGTTTCTAGAAGGAAAAGTCCCTTTGTTTGACAGGTTTTGAGATGGGAATAACTGTTGTTTGGGGAGAAGAGAAGTTAGTTGAGATGGGCTGGAGCTGGTCTTGTAGCTGTTGTTAAAGTCCAATCCCATTTCCTAGAAGACAAAACAAGAGGCACACGCACAAAATGGGAAAGAAGAGAACAGCAAAGATGGAAAATAGCAGCTTTTGTCTCTGAGGTTGAGTATCGCTTGCAACCTCATTGCTGGAAAAACACAGACACAGCACACAGTCTTACCAGCAACTCTGAGACCTGACAAACTCATATCACCAGGCTGTTTAGAGCATTGTTTTTAGCTCCCTCTCTGGTCACAGGCTTACAGCAGTGTTAAAAAATTGCAGCCTTGCCTGGCTAAGCCAGACTCTTCTCAGACAGAAGGAAAAAGGAGAGAGATAGGAAAGAGAAGAAATAAGGTAGGGAAGGAAAAGAACAAAGGGGGTGTGCAGGGGAAACCAAGTCTCACATGGCAGGTGGTGTTTGGGATTCAGCCAGAGCTAGTGGGGGAGAGGATGAGGTATGCCCCCGTCTCTCTGGACCAGTCTGGTCAGGACACCTCTTAGGATAGAGGCCCAAGGTTCCAGGAGATGGTGGGGGTGGCAGCCATGATGGTGAACTTTGCTTCTTCCTTTTCTCTCATCTTATATCAGCCAGTGTCGCAGCCCATTAGCTTTTCCCCCAAGGTGTGTCTCAGTGGCGGATTAATAATTTTGCCGCCCCTAGGCCGGGAAATAATTGCCGCCCTGGCCCCGCCCCGACTCCGCTCTTTTCCCGCTCCCATTCCAACCCCCTCCCCAAAGTCCTTGCCCCAACTCTGCCCCCTCCCTTCCCCTATTGGATCCCTTCCCCAAATCCCCACCCCAACCCCGCCTCTTCCCCAGTGCGTGGCGTTCCCCTTCCTCCCCACTCCCTCCCTGCCCCGCGAAACAGCTGTTTCGCGGCGCAAGCGCTGGAAGGGGAGAGAAACAGGACGCCACAGCAAGCTTGCAGAGGAGGCAGAGGTGAGCTGGATCGGGGGGGCGGGGCATGGAGGGGAGCTTCCGCCCCTGAAAATTTGCCACCCTAGGCCTAGGCCTTGTTGGCCTAGGCAATAATACGGCGCTGGTGTGTCTCTCTCTCTTTTTTTAAGGACCCCAAAAGGGAGTGATGGGCAGAATGAGCCCATTCCCTCATTATTTGGTCTACAAATTAGGCCCAATTTCCAAAACACCAATTTTGATTCATTAATTTTCAGACCCCATGCTTTTCTTGTTTACCAGCGTGATTTTAACACAATCCTTGAGTTCTATCAAGAGGCTCTTTTTGTCTGAACTAATTCAGTTCTGTTTTTTCACTTGTGCTAATTTTTATAAACAATCTTATATGACAGTCTGAGTTGTACTTTGGTTACCTTTTGCCCATCAACCTGTGTTGTTATTGTAGGTTATTGTGACATTTTAAGACCTTTCAGTCACTTTTTACAGTTGAGCTCACAATTAGGATAAATTTGTAGGCCCAATTACCACAACATGGTCCACGGAGTGAAATAATTTGAGAAGCAAGCAGAGGTGGAAGTGGTCCATGAGAAGGGGAGTCTGTTTCTTTTGCAAAGATGTCTGGAGAAGGAAAAGACTGGGGAGAATCTGGTTTAATCTGTTCATTCTTATTGTGTTGACCATTTGTTGAACTCTGAGAAGATGTTTGGCCGCTTCCATGACACAGGAAATGTGGACCCAGCCACGAGAAGCTTACAATGTAAATTAGACACAGCCTCTTGGCTTGATTTTGAACACCCGTCAATCTCATTGAAGTTACTGGGAGATGCAGTTGCTCAGCACCTTTGAAGATGAGTCCACAAGGGCCAAATTCAGAGTTGACATAATTGGGGAGGGACATTGGGGGGTAAGTTACACATTGGTAAGAGTGGATGAAAGTGAGTATAACTTACACATTGAGCCTGCCCTGCCTTATCTTACATCCTCTTCTTGGTTGCTTTGCTTGCTATGAGCCCACGCTTCTGCCTCTCCAAGTCCCACACCAGTTGCACACCCTTTCCACACCAGTTCCACACCCTTTCCACACCAGTTGCACACCCTTTCCAAACCAGCATTTGCACCACTTCTCAGTTTGGCTTATGGCGTGCAGTTCGAAATTGAGTTCATACACAGATTATATGTACAAGAAGCACTGGATAAAAGGCTGGCCTTTTCTGTAGTTGTGGCCTGGTTTTTGGAGGAGCTGCTGAGCACCCACAGGTATGAATGAAGTCAATGGGAGCTGTGGCCATTGGAGTTCTGTTTTCATGATGTGTGTTCAGGGCTTGGCAAGGTTATCAGTGAAAGGCTGCATGGAAAAAGTCAATTTTGGGGAGATCCATCCATGTAAAGAAGGAGATATCTGAGCAAATTACTGGAGCCGGGGAGTTCTAAGTCATAGCATGGAAGAAGGCTTAAAGACAAGAGTAGGAAGATAACACAGAGCTGGACAGGTAGGAGTCTTGGAAAGAGCACAGACAACTGGATAGGAGAAAATGAAAGCAGAGACCTAGAGCCAAATACTCAGCTGGCATCTGTCTGACTCCAGTGGTATCCTTATATATGTCCCCAATGGAGCTTCACTGAATTATGCCAGCTGAGAATCTAGCCCATGTGAAATTGCTGTGCAAAGAGCAGGAGAAAGAATAGCAGTGAAACAGCAGCTATGCCCTGCTTAGAATTGCACTTGGGGGGATTTTCACATAAAACAAGTTTTATTACATGAGAAAAGTGATTTGTTTTCCAGGGACTGCTGCCACGAATTGTTGGGTCATGTTCCCATGTTAGCAGACAAAGAATTTGCACAGTTCTCACAGGTAAGGAACCTTGTCTGTAATTCCAGTAGCAATGAGTACAAGGGACTAGATATGATTTGCTATTTTAATTTTGAAGGTTTGAGTCTCCCCCATTTATGCCTGTATAGGGTGGTGGTGGTGTTTGTACTCTCTTGCATTGGAGGTGCCAGCTACACCCTAGAGGAAATATACCCCAGGGCAGGGCAGGCAGTGTCACCTAGGGGAGATAAGTGGCAAGGCAAGGCAGGCAATGTCACCTAGGGGAGGTAAGCACCAGGGCAGGGCAGAGCAGGCAGTGTCTCCAAGGGGAGATGAGAACCAAGGCAGAAATAAGAAGAGGGAAGCTTCAGTTGCAATGGAGACCCCTAAGCACTGCCTGAGAATGAATAGGCTCTTCTCTTAGGTACCCATCATACTGCATGGGAACTCGCATCTCTGGGTTTCACAGACAGGAGCCATCATAATTTAGATTGATCCTGTCCCTGCATTTTCATTTCAATCTACCAGGGTACTTTTATCTTGTTTATAAATGGCCATATTCTGACACCATTACTCATATTGATTAGAGCTTTACCTCATGAGCAGTCTCCTTAAAGTAAACGGAACTTACATGTGGAGTAAGCTGTTACTCCATATAAAAGTATCAGAATCTGGCCCAAAGTGGATTTAGTGCTGCTGAAAACCTGTGTTCTGTGGCTAATTAGGGAACTGCAATCTCCAGGGATTGCCAATCTGTTCTCTAATTAAACACAGAACAGGTACAGCATGGGAAAAAGCAGCACAAGCTTCCCCTACCCTGCATTGTTAATGTGCCTCAAACTTGAACTGGTGGGAGCCTCCCAGGGATGAGAAGGTTCCTCATGCAGTCCCCATCAGTCTTTGCCCTCTACTGAGACTGCCAACAGAATCGTCAGTATTTTTGTGATATAGACACCTGTCCAGTAGTTCTGGAAAGAGATCACCAGTTGGTTTCATGTCACGGAGCCTGGGGTCAGAGATCAAAGCCAAGGGTCGGAGCCAGAGTCAGGAATCAAAGTCAATTACCTGGAGTGAAGAAAGGCTTGGGCAAGGCTGGAGTCAAGGCAGAACCAGGGCTGGGAACAAGCAGGAGCTATCACATGGTCATCAGTTTTGGTCATTACCATATTCGAACCAGTGAATCATATAATATTCTAATGCCCTGTGACTGCCCTGCCCTGTGGGGGGGAACACTCCCTTTTGCTTGATACTAGAAATAAAGAACCATTAAAAGATGTAAAAATAAGGGGCTATAGTAATTTCAGAACCACCAGGTTTTGTTGTTGTTTTCTCTGCTCTGTTATGGAAGAGCGAACACAGGCTCACAAAAGCTCACTGATTGAAGTGAATGACATCAAGTGTTTTTCATGGCTGAATTCCTGTCATGGAAATTCTTCTTGATTTCATCCACTATGTGAAAATTAATGGTAAAAATGCCCTTGTTTTGTTTTTGTTACTATGACACTGTATCCAGGGCTTGAACTGTAAGGAGGCTCCAGAGAATTGCAGTTCCCACTGTTAAAATAATGTAATTAGCTTAATGGGGAGCATACAAGGGAGTAGACAGATTCTTGCTGTCAACTCTGCTGCTGAAAAGTTCAGTAGTGCTCTTTTGAAGTGCCAATAGGCCCAATCCAGCTCTCACTGAAGTTGATGGGAGTCTTTCCATTGTCTTTAATGGCAGTTTTAACAGGCTCAAATTTCCATTGGGCTGGTAGAACTATAAAGTAACTTGTATCTCAAGCAATTCTGGAGGTGTATTATGCTCAGATTACAAAGGTCTATTTGATTCTATTCTATTTTATACCCATGTTCACCACTGTAGTATCTTCCAGTAGTCCATCAAGCCATGTGACTACACATCTGTCACATGTTGTTTGTTCTCTCCTCCTCTCCCCAGAGGGAGAAGTGTGAGTAGTGGAGTGTCTTTTCTTGGTAGCATATGTCTTTTAAAATATATATATACACCTGTTACTCGGTGTTTGTTCGAGAAGACAGGACAAAGAAATGCACCCTGCCCTTGGATCGGAAAGTGGTGAGGTTTGTGCTGTACCTTTGCTCTTGGGGAATTCATTCCACAGATTGGGATTGCTCTGGAGAAAGATCTGTCTCCTGCACAGACGAGCTTGACTCAGATTGTCCAGAATTCCACTGCACCGGGGAGCCGAGTTGTTGCCCGCAGACTTTTAGATGGTCTTGTACATACTCTGGGCCCAGGCCACGGAGTACCTTGAAGATAAGGACTGAGACCATAAATTTGATTCTAAATTCTATGTGATAGGGACATAGGCGGTCATAGCCAGTGGTCAGAGCAGGAGTCATGCCCAATGATCAGAGCAAGAGTCAAGTCTAAGTCATTAGAACAGACGTCCGTAGCCAAGGATCAGAGTCCAGGGCCAGACCCAAGGGTCACAGCCAGAGTCAGTAGCCAGAGCCTAGGGTCAGCGATCAGAGCCAAGTGTCAGAGCCGGAGTCAGAGGTCAGGAATTGGAGTCAAGGGTCAGAACTGGATTACCTGGAGTGAGGAAAGGTTTGGGCAAGGCTGGAGTCAAGGCAGGACCAGGGCTGGGGACAAGCAGGAGCTATCACAGCCATGGGCAAATGCTTTGAGCAGCTGCTGAACTGCTGCTGCAGCTGGGCTTAAGAGCCAGCCTGCTGACTCTGCAAACCAGTTGGGCAGTGTAGTCAGGCAGCCTAGCACCAGCAAGCTGCACTCGTTAGGTTGCCCAGAGACTTGCTGTGCTGCAAGCCCTGCTTCATACTGGCAATGCTGCATGTCCTGATTCCTGACAGAGGGAAGGACAGGTGTGATGTGCTTGTGGTAGCCTGCATTGCTGAGGAGACACTGTTGCATTCTGAACTAGTTGGAGCTTCTTAAACACAGTAGGCTTCATGGCCAGGTATATCGCAGTGCTGTAGTCCAGCTGAGAGGTGACGAAGGCATGAATAACTGAGGGCAGGTCTTC